AAATTCAATTTTAAAAAAATTTTCTTTTAAAAGAATAATTTTATAAAGCAAGCAGAAGTCGCCATTTTTTTTTCAAAATTTGAAGAAGCAGAACGCATATATAATTCTATTGACAGAAAGTAATTTATTTCTGTATTTTTCATTACCTCATTTTATTAATTAACGTTTGACGTTTTTAATTAGAGATTTGGTCATTGGTATGTTTGCGAAAATTGGAAATTATGGAAAAGTGTTAGAGTTGATGGGTGGAAGCAATGATTGGTGGAAAGGAGATAAAGGTAGAAAAGAAATTTTAAATAAACTAGCCGAACATTATTCTGATAAACGGATGTGGTATGTTAAAAAAGTTTAATTTTTATATGCTTCATTAAATAAATGGGATGACGTATTTTTTTCATTATAGCTAGATTCAACTTTTTTATTATATTTTTTTTAGTGTTAGATCAGTCGGTAGAAGACTATGTCGCCTTATTATTAAGCCATGGCCTCGTTCGAAAACTGCCCTTTCAAAACTCAAAAACTATCACATACGTCTGATGCCGTGATGTGTATGTACGCTGTGTGGTGGCTATAGGTACAGCTTCTGTCTAATTCTAAGTACAGAAGTTTAAAGCTACAAAATAAAATATTCCTATTGCAATTTCCGCGTATCCTCCTTTAATTGGTCTGCATTACAAGAATTAAAAAAAATTATAATTTTTAATTATTTAATTACTGTCATGATAATTTCAAGTATTAATTTTTTTGTTATTATTTTTATCTTTTGTCAAAAAACATTAGAACAAAATAAATTTTACCAACTTTTTATGATAATAATGAAGTAATTATAAAAACAATAATAAACATTATTGTTTTTATAAATGTTTGATTAAAATATCGAAAGTTATTTAACCAAGTATAAAATGGCGAATAGTTATTTTGTAGCTTTAAATTTCAAATTTTTTTACTATGAAACTTTTTTTATCTGACTAATCCTGTTTGAAAGGTTTTTGATTCACAAACACACTCTTCTGGGGTTGTTCTGAGTAGGTTTTTTATTTAATTGTTAACGCACTCACAATTGTTTTCTACCAAATAAAACAGTTAGACCCTGAAGGTCATTGAAACTACATAGGAATTACAATACGGGAACTTATTTTCAGATGGAGTTAACGTCATGATTAAACGTTAAAAACAAAAACCTATCATTTACAGTGCTCAACTTAACGTTCATACTGACAATATTAAATTTTATATTTATTTTTGCGTGTTTTAGCAAGGTGAGTGTTTTAATAATATATACAGAATTGATCAAGCACGAATAGGGAGTTTTATACAAAAAACGTTTTTGCAGATAACAGAGCTTCCGTAGTCTATTCCAAATTGTTGTTGATAAATTTGACCAAACTGACTATTTTTTTGGACTAACCATCAGTTAGAGCAAAAAAGAAGTTACTCATCATCCTGCTCTACACAAGAGCTTTCACGGTACACATACAGGGCAAACTTTAAGTAGTTGAGAACATTGTTTCTTCTTATATTTTTAAGAAAATGAAAACCAGGCTTTTTGATTTTTTCGGGATTCGGTTGATGATATGATGGTGTTCGGTTGATGATATGATGCTCTTGATGCATTGAATGCCTCTGGGGAGAACCTTTCAAGTGGACAAAGGGGTGGGCAAAGATATATTTACAAAGATGAGCTTATTGGAATTATGCATGCTCGCATAATCGCATGCTTCCTGCATTGATGGGAACATAAACGGTTTAAAGAAAACATTTGGGTCAAAATAGAAAAGTTTTTCATATGAAGATTCTTCGTTTCATTATGGAGATCAAGTAGCAAAATAAGATTTCCAATCTAGCGGTTTTAGACAGAGTTTGCCTTAATAGTTTTAAAGTTGAACAAAACACGAGATACGTATTTGGATTTTTGTCAGGTCTTCAATGACAATTTGCGTCACGTTTGCAGAAACAGTAACAATGATGGTACCAAAAAGTCTTAGAGTTACTAGACTTGTTTGAACGAATGGGAAGCTCGAGTTAGAAACAGAACTGGATGGAGTATGACATTATGTACAACTTACAGTTTAATGCCGCTATTTCAATCAGGATACAAACATCATACTTTTGACAAGCAGAATATTTAACATTTAATATATTTAGATTTCAGTGCAGCATTTGATTGCGTTAACCATCTATTCTAAACCGTGTTTCAGGGGTGGCAGCGCCTTAGTTTAGATCACACTTATTTGGTACAACTTAGTATACAATTTGGTATACTTCAAAAAGAAATTATCTAATATTGCAGTAATGACGTCTGGAGTCCCTCAAGGCTCAGTTCTTGAACCCATTGTCTTTACATTGTATACTACAAAATTATATGTTGTTATTATTAGTGGATTTTCATGTCACGCTTATTCAGATGACATCAAAATAATAGCAAGTAGTGAACCAGAGCAATTTTAAAGTAATGTTGAAAAACTTGTTGAATGTCTTATAAAAGTAAAATTAATTAAATCAATACAAATCGCAGTTTCTACCTATAGGTACCCGGCAACAACTGTCAAAAAATAAAATTCTATCAAAATTAGTAAAATAGTGAAATAGAAATTTGGCGTTTATTTTCGATTCCATTCAATAATCAAATAAAAATTTTTTCAAAATAATGTTCATTTCAGTTTCGCCAGTTACATCGCATTCGAAAGTCACTGAGTCAATCTACGATACACGCATTCATACATTCAAGGTTATCCTTGCTTCATGGATTGCCTGATCTGTTTATTGCTGTTCTCCAGTCGAGCTGCAAAAATTGTTGTCGGTGGTGGAAATTTAACCATGTGACGCTCATCTTGAAGGATCTGCATAGGCTCACAGTGAAAAAAACAATTATCTATAAAACCTGCGTAGCCAGAATATTTGGTGAATAAAGTTAAAAAGAAACTAGCTTTTTTAACTCGTCTAAAGTTGAGATCCGATTTCAGCAACCTGCTTCTGGTGCCATCTACTGATCTGCGGACTGCTTCAAGAATTATCGCTGTGTCTGGACCAGTTGTTTGGAATTATAATAATAACAATAACAATGTCTTTTTATATAGCGTAATGGCAGGCGACTGAGACGCATTATCATTATTACAACAAACACACGGTGCATAAATACACGTGAATCAACGCATCTCATACTTTTGCATCTTTTTTTGCTTTCGAACTGCATCAACAATGCCAGGCACCTTAGCCATTACACCATCGCGCCGCCCATTATCTATAAAACCTGCGTAGTGATGTACAAGCCGGAATATTTGGCAAATAAAGTTAAAAAGAAATTATCTGCCAAACTCGTTTAGAATGTCTGGGTTGAAAATTGATGACTTTAAAAAGAATCTGAAAATACTTTTTTTTATTGTTATAGATAGATAATATCTATTAATTAGAAATTATTTATTTTATTATTTTACTGTTTTGGATAATGCTTTTAAGAAATATTGTGTTTTTTAAGCGCTTTATAAATTTTTAATAAATTTTTAATTTTTAACAATTTTTTGACCTAAATGAAATAAATCCTAAATTATTAATTTCATATAAGAGTGTAAATAAATAAGATGTAAAATATAAGGCACGATTCTCTCATGCTCGTTGATCAACAAGTGCTTGAGAGTTTGAAATTGAAATTGGTTGTGTTTTCTGTCACGAATTTATTGTGTTTCTATATGACGAGCGAATTACCGCGCTAATCAGTTTTTCATCAAAAAATTTTGTTCATAATATTTTAAAAAAGTTAGATTAAATTTGTTATAGAAACCAACAGATGATATTTCAAATGAATTAATAATTAACGAACAGTTATAGACTGAATTTAAGTTAAATTTCAAGTTTTTATAATTCGCGTGATGAAACTAGGTTACTTTCATGGCAAATTATAAGCTCTAAAATTTCAATTTTGTTTTTTTGGAGAATTGAAAAGTCTGGTCGTAACTTGTTGAACAACTTGGCATTGGACGTACATTTTCTGCATTAAGTAAGGTTCACAAATCTTCAACCAGTTGACAATCAACGACAGCAGTTTTTTTTTGTATATCTGTCCGTGTTCCTTGCGTGAGCCGTTGTAGAATCACAGTTCGAAACAACATGTTTATTTGTTTGGCGATAGTGGATATACCCTTAACCCACTTAAATAAGTTTGCATTAGTGGAAAGCTGCTGTATTAAATACTTTGTACTAAAGTTATAGTACACCCGTTAAATCTTCGACGATCTTTGACCAACGCGACGTTTGTGATAGCGAAATTCATTTATTACTTTGACCAACCTTGGCATTGAAGATTGTCCATATGGTCAAGGCTGGATGCAATTCTTGTCTCTTCCAGCAATTTTAGCGACTTTCACCGAACCTGACTCCCCTATCATCCTAATTTTTTAAAATTAGATGACGTTTCACGCCACAAACAAATAGTTTCATATCGATGCTTCTTGATTTAAATAATTTCGGATTTTGACTTTTGTCTTTTGTACTTTAATGAGATGATATTGTGACCAGTTAGAGCACTTCGGACACGCAGCCACTGATTGGCGTGGTCAGCCATTTTCCACAACTAAGCCGTCAAGACCGATGATGATGAGAGGTTATAATTTTGAATTTAAATTGTAGCTCAGTTGGGATGAATCGCCTTAAAATTTGTAGTTTAAAATCATGGTAGTTTGATAATTTTGTTTTTATTGACTCTCTAGCTTTTTTGTCGTTTTACTCATAACCATCATACTCATAGTTCGCCCAAATATATGAAACTGTCACCATTTTGAACGACCGTGTTTTGGACAGTTAGATATGTATTAATTATAATATATGTTTGCCTCACCTTGGAGCTAATAAATAATAATTATTACTGCATGACGTATGATAACTACGCATGTTCTCATCAAAAATATATTTTATTAATATTCTGCAGTTTTTCTGTATTTTGAAACAAAATAATAAATAACCATAGCAAAACATTAACATTAAAACATTAAATTAAATCTAATAGGTCTAATGCTATGGAATATTACAAAGAAGGACAAAATGAAGCCAAACAAATAGAATGCTGTTATATGCTTCAAGATTATGAGAGTTTAAAAAATATTATAATCAACGTTCCCGATGATCATCCTATTTTAATGGTAAAGCTGTTTTATTTAAAGCTATTTTTAACGATCAATCGTTTTTTTAAATTGATATCTAACTCTATTTGTTTTGGTGTATTAGTAGATTATGTTCGACCGAATTAAATTCAATTAAAAGTTTTGTTTTTTAATTTTGCTTACTAGAATCTTTTAAAAATTGTTCAATTTATTGAAAATTGAATTATTATCCAAGTTCATCATGAAAATTTAGAAACTGTTATACTGTTTTCACAAATCATCAAAGCAAAGTTAGTTCTTTAGCAAAGTGAGTTACTTAGTTGGTGTCGTATTCTTCATCTAACTAACTTTGCTTTGTTTTAAGTAACTATATAAAATAAACCAAACCAAACCAAAATTGATATAAGGCTTAGATAAAAAAAGAATTTTCCATAAAAAAAAGAAATCATACAATACGTTGTTTATTTGTATATATATATATATATTATATATATATATATATATATATATATATATAATAATACACAACGTATTGTTGTATATATACAATGTATTATATATAGGTGTGGTGTGTATACGAATTTATTTAATTATATATATATATTATATATATTATATATATAATCTGTAGTTTTCATAAATTACAGCTCTAATTATGGTAGGGGTATATATACATATTGTTACAGACGTGAAGGCGAGATAAAAATTAGTAATTAGAAATCAAAATGAAACGCTTGATAATTTAATTAAGAGGCGGAGCCAATTAAAACGGTTGTAAAAGCGAAAAAGCGTAAACGATTGAAAGTCACGTGACGTGGCACCACCAACTATATAAGGAGGAAGACCCACACGAATAAAACACGAACGAAAATAACGAACGAGAGAATAACGAGAATAACACGAGGAAATAACAAAAGAAGTGCAGCTAATCAGAAGACGGAGCACTATTGACGTAAATGTGATTAATGTGAAATTATGTAGTTATTAGGATTGTTATTGTTTCTATTACTGCTGGTATTAAATAAACGTTTGATGTAGTTTGCGTTAAAAGTTGTTTTGTTCATCTATCGGAGACCTACGGATAAACGAACTCTTGACTATCGTTGGAAGCTACAACACTGTGTTGGAGATATAGCGAGTACTAAGCTATAACATCGGTGTTCGTAGTTACGAGATCGAAGAGGTTACGACACTGGTGTTAGAAGTGGTATCTTCAGATTACACACTGGTGACAGAGGTAAGATTCCAATAGCTGAAAGCTCACTGCAGTAAAGAATACCAGGACTAGAGAACTCAATGTAATTAGTCGGACGAAACAAACTTAACTACTGACGAATAGTTGTATTCCGTGATTTACCTGTCGATTAGTTATTGTGCTGTATTCTAACGATTTAACGACCGAACGAATGAGTGATCGATTGCGGCAATACACACAAGTGATTGCCTGCACTGTTGTCTTTCTAACAAAGTCATCTAAAATAAGTCTGCTTAGGAATCAAAAATTCACGTAAAGAGAAATAACGATACCCTACAAGTCAAAGGGGTCGGTTATAACAATATATATATATATATATATATATATATATATATATATATATATATATATATGTCAATCTTCGATTTGCGTCCACAGATCCAGTTCCTTGAGGTAGGACTTTGTTTTCTTTGCCATCAATTAGACGATCAGTTGTATCCATTTCATTTAAATTTAGAGCTTTCATGTCTTGTTCGATTGTTTGCGACCAGGACTTCTTTGGACGGCCTTTGGGACGTGTGCCAGGTACTTCAATATCTGCAAGAGTTCTGTAGATTTGATGTGGTTCTTCAGACTAATTCGTTGCATCTATTGGAGCATTTTCATGTAGGTTCGTTGAAGTTGTTGTTCCAGTTCGGTTGTCATTGGCACTGTTTCTGCACCATATAGCAACACCGGACGTATCACAGTCTTGATCGTGGTGGTAGTGGGATGTCACGCCGCATCAATATAGAGGCAACAAAGACTACAAAAAGATAGCTATATCTTTAAAAATAACAATCACAACAACATTATCAAGACGTTACTATCAAGACGTCTCACAATACATACATAAAAAGGAGCCATAAAATCTCACTTGCAATCAACACACAACACATGCAACTTCAATAACCCGACAAATTCTTGACCACAACACAAAAATAAGTTATCAAAACACCAACACAATATATCTAAAAATTGCAGTTCTAATATATATCATGAACCCTAAATTAACATCTAACAAAGAATGATAACATCATTGCCAACTCGACACCTTAATATCAACTTCAATAACAATGAAAAACAAAGGAATGACTCAACAAAGATGATCAATAAATTACCAGCTAATAAACTTTGATAAAGAATTTTGTAGTGTTTAAAAAAATTAAATATTTTGGTCACCGGGTTAGCTCAGTTGGTAGAAGCTGCTAATTACGCGTTGGCATGGTTTGAAAACTGTTTGTCCAAAACTCTAAAACTACCATACTCGCAATGACGGATCTTGACAACTTCATCATTTTTTAAATGATGCCGGTGGAGGAGAATTTTGGAGGAAAATGTTTTATTATGTTTCAATATTGGCTAACATTTTGGTGAGGGAGGCCAACATTTGTGGCTGACGATCTTATTGTCTTTTAGCACAAAAACTGCTCACACAAAGCCCCGGCCCCCAGATCCTCCACTGCATACGCATATTGTACGTTGTACGTTGTTAAGTCTAATTAAGAATCAATCCATCTTCTACTACCACCAATTAAAACTACAACACACAACCTTCGTCAACGTTAGCATAACTATCAAGTCGCCACCCAATACATATCAGGAAAAGACCTTCATTACAAGACACCTCAAACATATTAACACTCAATAAAACTTTATCATTCACTCAACTAGCTTTATCATTCACTCAACTAGTTTTTATTTATTGATCACCTCACTAACTCACTAAGCCATCATCTATAACAAACTACCTTATTAATTTGCCTTTTCATGCCATTGCTTTATTTTAGTGTCAATTTATTTTTTTATTATTTATTTTATTCTTTTTTATTTTACTTTTCATGTTTAAACGTGTTTCTTTCTCTGTTTTTTAATTATTTATTTGTTTAATTTTATTACTGCCTTGCGTGACTGCGTGAACGATTTCATCTTTGATCATGTAATTTGGGGTTTTTGAATGCGTCATCAAATATTTGAAGACCGTCTTTTTTTCTTTTTTTTTCCATGGTTTTTTTTCACCAGGTTATTGTTTCTGAAACCCGCACTATTTCCTTTCGAGTCATACCCAAATCAATGATAACTGAAAATTAGGTTTTTTGCTAATTATTTCATTTTATTTTGTTTTATTTAAATAAAATAAAATGTGGATTGTTTCATTTCTTTGTTGTTGTGGGTTCATAACCGTTTCAAAAATAATTTCGATAGGAATTAGGAAGGTTTTTCACAATACTTGGAATGTGTAGGGAGGCTGTTCAAGCTTATTTAAAGGTTAGCGAATTATGACTATGAATTATTATTTTTATCCTGTAAATAAATTTACCTTCAAGCAAACTGTTTAACTCATTTTCAAATAAACACTCTAATAATGATAACTGAGAATTAGGTTTTTTCTAATAGTTTTGAAATTGTAAAGCAGTTTTTATTATATTTCAACTTTTCCAAATTTTTTAAAACGTTTTCCCAGTTTCATTTAGTTGCGGTGTTTAAATTAGAAGTATTAATTGATTTGGTAGTTGCTTATTTAGTAATTTGGTTAGCTTTTTATAACTATGATGTCAGATACAAAAGAATTTTTGTTATCTCGTTTGGCGGTGGGGCGACGGGGTGAATAAGACTTTTTGAGGTAAATTATTTAAATATCAGATTTGAGAACCAAGATTAGTTTGTTAAAAAACTATGAATGTTTTTTTGTACTATTGAAAAGAAAAAAAACGGCACTCACAGAAACTGCTATCACAGTTTTTTTTATCTGTGTGATCATGATGGTTTTATAAAAAACAAGCTAGTCGTGTTTGATTTAATTTAAAATAATGCACCATGGTTTGGCTACCGTTTCGAAACCTCTTTCACTGTGGCAACATGGAACGTTAGAAATTTGAGAACGTAAGAAATTTTAAAACGTAAAACAGGAAATGAAAAGAATGGATCTCAGAATTATAGGATTGAGCGAAACATGACGTGGTTGGTTTTGCGGTATAGGTGAAGGCACTCCCACGACCCGGGTACGAATCCTGCAGTTTCTACAGGTTCATCCGTGTAGCCGACCCCTGGCCAACCCAGCCATCTATCCTTTCGAGGCTGGTAAATGGGTAGACGATGTAAGTTGTCGCATGTTGGCCAGCGAGATGGCGCAGTGGTTCAAATGCTCGCTGAGTCGAACATCTCAATGGCTATCATATACTTAGTGTATATGATGCGTAAATACATGCATAAATACATGTGTACGTCGTGTGAAAAAAGATAAAAGCTGCTTCAAATCAATGGTTGAAAATATGAAGAACATACTAAAATATATATAGATATATATCTGTAACATTATAATTGGTTCTGCGTATGTCAGAGCTGTATGTCTGTAATAAAGACTGCAAAAATATCAAGTGAAGAACGCTAAATTTTGGTGAGATCAAGGTCAAGTTAGTTTAAAACGTTGAAGTACAGAATCTTTTTCAATTAAGTAAATAAATCTAAATATGAAATATTTAAAAATGTCTACACAGAATCAGCAAAAGAAGTTATATTTGTGAAAGAGGAAAGAAGAGATCAGAAATAAATAACAGATAACATCGTATCACTAATGAATGAAAGGAGAAAAGTGAAAGGCTGCAATCTTGATAGACGCAATATCTGAACACAACAATCAAAAAATATGGTTAGATGACGAAATCATTGAAAAGATCAAAAACAGTAATACAATTGCAATAAATAAATACATTGAAGAAATCACTAGAAAAATGGCTTGTACCGTCCTGGATGCATAAAAGTTAAACAGCTGCAAAATTCCTGATCTATTACATATTTATTGCATTGCTTAAAAAGCCTAATGCAACCGAATGTGAATTGCATCGAACAATCAGCTTCATAAGTCATCTTACAAAACTTCTCTTGAGATTTCTAATAATAAGAACCCGAAGCAAAAACAGATCTGAAATGTGAAATGTCTAATGTGGTTTTATCGAGGATTGTGGCACAAGAAACGCTATCTTTTTGCTACGAATGATCAGTGAACAAGCGATTGAAATTAAGAAAGACTTGTTTATATGTTTTGTCGATTATTGCGAAGCTTCTAATAGCGTGAAACACATGGAGCTTATTGGGAACAAAAAGCAGCGATGAAAGTTGGTAACAAGATGACTAGGTTTGTCGAAATAGAGAAAGGTGTTAGGCAAGGCTGTGTGTTTATTCTCCAGACTTGTACAATCTCTATAGTGAAATCATCATGAGAAAGATAGATCTACCTGAAATATCTATTGGAGGCTTGAATATAAACAATAATGATATGCTGATGGTACAGCTCTTGTAGCGGAATTAATGGAAAAACTGCAAACATTTGTTTTTAAACCGGTTGTTGAAAGTGATAGGAAAGGCAAAACCTTCTGCTCCATAATCATTAATGGTAAACAAGTCGGGTTTTTTGGAAGTCGATGGTTGGCAATGTTAAGGCAACGATAAGACACGAGAAAAAAGAAAGAAAACTAATTTTGTTAGGTTTATATCGGATGAAGTCGAAATGACAAGGTTTTTTTAATGCTGTTTTTCAGGTTTAACAATGTTTCAAGTTTATGTTTCTATCCCGTATGTTTTAATTATAGAATTTGAGAGTTTTTTCAGCTAGCTAATAATTGCTTGGGTGATTTTTGAGGGTTTGGCTTGAAACAAAGAAATGGCATTTGATATATAAAGTCCGAATACATCTTATATAGTAAAAAACTAGAATTTGATTATGTATTAGCCTTGTTACTTCAAGTGGTAAAATTTGCTTAGTCACGGAATTTTTAATAAAAATTTGTGAAGTTACTTGAAAAATTAGTTTGAATTGAGTTCTGGATCAGAAGTAATATAAAAAATTGTGTATGATTATGATTTTGTTTATGTAGATAAATGTCTTGGCCAAAGCACATATTTGATTTAGGATATATTGAAAACTATTTTATTTTCTTTCTTGTTTGAGGCGGCATTAACTTTTTTTGTTTTTTTTTTCAACCGACTTCAATCAAACACCTGAATAAAATATGTTAAAACTGTTTTTATCATTTACATTTTTACCGTAGTTGTCATTAATGAATACCACTGTTGAATTGACTTTTTTAAAAACCCAATTTTACAAAATTTGTTTGCCTTTTAAAAATAAATCGATGTACGTTTTTCCAACTATGCTCAATCCAATTTTTTTTGTTTTTTTGTTCCCATGTTACCTGTAAAGTCATAAATGCCATTTTTTTCAGGCGTTAGTAAATCTATGATTATGCTGAAAATGTGTTATTCCAATTGCAGAAATAGCATTTTAAAATTAACACCATCTTTTAATTTGGGTGGAGCAATTTACTAGCAAAAGATCCATAGGCTTTTCATATATATGTACTTTCCTTACATAACTTGAACCATCACAAAACTGGATATTATTCTTTACAGTATTTTATTATTTTCATGCAATATTTTAATATTTTGGGTGAGGTTTTTTCGATTATAACCAGTTTCTTCTTAAAAATCATTGACGATGTTTTGTAAATTTTATTGATAATTTTGTTTGTTGTTGTTAAATTCAAGATAAATTATACGTAAAATTTATTTTTGAGAAGTGTAAACTTTAAATGTTGGAAATTTTATTTAATAAACACGAGAATACGTTTCCAATTTACATTTCTTTGTAAAAAATACTAATCTAATCAGTTTCGTTCGTTGATCATCATTTAGTCGAAAATCATTCAAAACATTCTATGTAACTAGTTGCACGACTGATTTTTTTTCTTTTATTTTATTTAATCTATTTTTACGCACCCAGATTATGGTGGATGTTATTTGATTGATAAGTTGCGATAACTTTCCTTACTGTCTGTGAAAGCCCGTAGCGTTTATTAATATAACTTGAGTAAATAAATTGTTGCGTCCAGTGTTAAATAAGTCTGTGTCATTTAGTAAAAAATCATAGTTTGGCCTATCTGGTTTATTATTCTTATTTTTGGCATCCAAGAAATCTATTTTTCTGATTATATACAGACTCGGCTTATTTTTCTGTTTAAACCTAGGCTAATTTTGAAAACGATTATACATAGTAGTTGTTGAATATTTTTGTTTCAAGTGTAAAATGATTGATGAAGCTATTAATGCTTGCATTTTTTTAAATCAATGGAGTCTTGCTATTGACATTGGTAATGATCATAATAAAGCAGAGATTGATTCGCTCATGATGACACATTTAAAGGTTATTTAGTTTTTCCATTTTTTTAAATTGGTTTTTTATAACATGAAAGTTAGCTTTTGGAATTTGGATTTTATTTAGTCATAATAATCAATATTTTTTAATTTTGCAAACCATAAATTATGAAAAATAGTTTTTAATTTTTTTTTAAATTATAAATATTCTCAGGAAAAAGAAAAAAATTTTGAAATTGTGCTGTTGTATTGCAAAGCAAATCACTATTTGGAAGGTGCAAAAATTTTGTTTAAGGTACAAACAATATTTTAACACTTTATAAAAATTGGTTATAGTTATTTTTTCATTTTTTCATATTTTTGCTATCCTTTGTTGAAAAACATTTGTTAACACTGCGAAAAAATTATTTTAAAGCTTTTTTTCGTCAATTTGATTCATTTTGTCTGGCACTCAATGTTAAGTGTCATTAAAAAGATGTAGATATGTTGATAACGTTTATATTTTCAGTTTTGATTATTAACAATTTTTTGTTTAAAAACTTATTATGAAATCAAATGTTGTACATGATCGCTGCATTGGCTGAACTTGTAAAATAAACTTAAAAGTGATTTTATTAAGTCTTGAGACTTATTGTTTATTAAGTTGGGTATTTGAAAGTGATACAACAACACACGTTTAGACGACATTTTCCCCGAGATCGGGGGTTGCCGTTTGGCTACCTATGATGAAACCGAAATACCCCTCGACGCCATTCCATCATAAGTAATTTATTTGGCTAATTTTTACGCAAGACGCCCTTCCTTACGCAACCACAGTTATAAGCGGTGGGCCTAGCCTTTGATGATCCAAGATCACTCACAAGGCAGTGAGGGTCAGTTTAATGTCATAACCAGGACATTGATAGTGATTGAAAGTGATACAAAACTCAAATTCTTCGCATGCTTAAACAAAGTTTTTTGTCATAAATTAAAGTTTACTTTCAAAATTTTATACCAAGGCTGCATCGTCAACAAACAATCATATTGTAAACAGATTGCCGTCAGTTCTGGTTTTTAATTGATCATTAAAAGATATATTTAGCGATTGCAGACACAGTCTTTTTTGAAATGGGTTTCTTTTTCTCTACCCGGATGAAATTTTAAAATGTAACTGCCACTTCCCGTGCGGCCGATTTTATTAGGTTAGATTAAGGGTGTTATTTAGATAAATTTAAATTAATTTAAATTAAATTTACCGTTAAGTTTTTATTAGAATTTGTGAGTTTGTTTAGGTGAATTAGGTTAGATAAATAGATTATTGAACGGATTGTTGAACAGGCTGGTAAACTTAAAAAAACATACAGCAGAAGTAATCAATGAAAAGATGGATGCCAATAATACTTGATTTCAAAAGTTGCCGATAATGATGAATAAATTATCAAACATTTTGAAGAACTGAATTCCAGCCCCTGGTTATTTTTAGCAGTTTTTGAATTAATCCCTTTTGTGAATGTGTGGTTTTGAATCAGAATTTTCATTCTCTCAGATGTGTTGCTGGTCAAAGTTTAAAGTTTTAATTTATTCATAGCGTTTGGCTTTAAGGCTACATATGTTTGGATTTGCTCCTTCTTTCTTTAATGGGACTATGATTGTAAAAAGCTATTTGAAAATATGACTGCAGAACACGGTTCATTAACAGAGGCTGCAAAAAATTTATTAGACTTTATTAAAAGCTATTGATAAAATGCTGATTATTAGATTTTCTGGTGACAGTCAAATTTTTGTACCGCTCCGAAGTGAAATTGACTATCAGCCACTTGACACTGTTCAATAGTTCAATAAGCGTTGAAAGACCGACCTGGTTGATGTTTGGTGTTTAACTATTGGACAATAACTGGGTCTCCATTTGAGTTTGACTTGAGTGTGTCTGTGTGCAAAATAATTTTTTTTTCAGTATTATATTTTAAAAATCAGGTTTTGACAGACGCAAAAACTGTTACATCATACAAGGCAGTAGTACAAAATAAAACAAATAAGTAAATAAATAAATAAAAAACGGAGAAAGAAAAATGTTCAAAAAAATAAATTAAATAATAATAACAAAATAAATAAAAGAAAAGAAATTGACAATAAAATGAAGTATTGATAATAATTTTGATTACGTTTTCTTTTCATAAATTACAGTTTAAGTTTTATTGGGGGAGTTGGATATTTGTAACTTTTTGTGTTATTTATGGTTTTTAATAGATTAATCTGTACGGATTAAAGATGAAAGTTTGCATTAAATTGCACTGCATAAGATGTGTTGTTTTTGTTTATTTGCGCTTGTTCCAGTTTTTTTAAATTAATGTTTCACACGTGATTTTCAATTTGTCTTGTGTGGCAGCAACTAATAGCATAATAATTAGAATGATAGTTAATTAATTGAAACATTTTCAATAGAATAAGTGTAAATTATATCTTTATTTTGTGTTGCAGATAGCCAGTGAAAGTTCTTTGAAATCATCTAGTCCTCTATTCATTAAAAAACTTTATCTGTTATCTGCATTATTGGTCGAAAAACACCACGAAATTAATAAGAAATCCAATAAATCTAAAGTAAAAAAGTACAATGAAGAGGTTAAAATTGTCTGACGCATTAAATTGATGTACTATAATTTTTGTATTTTAACTTGTTGCAAAAGTTTTTAGAAGTAACTTTTTATGTAACCCACTAATAGTTTTCTTCAAGTTTTGTTAAAATCAATTAAATTAAATTGCATGTAACGCATTAAATTGATGTACTATAATTTTTGTATTTCAACTTGTTGCAAAAGTTTTTAGAAGTAACTTTTATTGTAACCCACTAATAGTTTTCTTCAAGTTTTGTTAAAATCAATTGTTGAAAGAACCAAGCTGTGGGTTCATTTTGTTCTATAATACTTTAATTTGTACATCAATATCGTGCTGTTATTCTGTTTTAATTTTTTGGTATTATTTTCTAAATATTCAGAACTGTTTATGTTATTTTACTAAAAAACTTTATAAAAATCAAATTTAATCACCTATTTTTTTAGTTTGTTTTATTAATTTCTAACAGTTTTTGTTTTAGTTTTTAATTTGAGTCTATTTAATACTTTCAACTTTAATCAATACTTTCCATAAATTTTCAGGTACACGTGGTATTAAATGAATTATTGGTGGATGAAAATCTTTCTTCTGTTATTACGAACGCTTGGAGATGTGTTGAAGCTTATCATTTCTATATAATGGCTCTTAGGCACTTTCATAAAGGTTATTTTAGTTTTTTTGGTGGTTGTCGTTAGGAATTAGGCAATTCCAGATACACAAAATTTTTTGACACAAACATCTTCCATGTCATCACAAAAAAAGAAAAGATCCCCTATTCCCTGGAAGACCTTTAATGGTCAAGGGGTGACAATATCCAAGAATTACGCAACAGTGGAGGGTTGTTGCGGCGGAAAATCGGGCGTCCCGTCCTGGAATATCAGACTTGGCACTTTAAATACTGGATACGAGATCGTCGACATGCTGGAAAGGCGAAGGGTTGACATCTGTTCTCTGCAGGAAACAAGATGGAAATCAAATGGTGTCTCTCATTGGGAATTAAAAGTGGTTCTGGAATGGCAGCCAAAGACAGCCAAAAAGAAGTGGAATCTTCATACGGGAACCATTGGCACAAAATGACATAACCTGGATATCTTTTCAGGACACTCTAGTGAACGCTGCAACAGTTGTATGTGGAAAATCTGAACCAAAACGCCAGCACAACCGCGAAACTTGGTGGTGGAACGAGACGGTGCAAAATACTATTGCCAGGAAGAAAGCAGCTTTCAAACAATGGCAGAAGACGAAGACTGATGAAGATCGAAAGACTTACTGATCAAAGAACACGGAAGCGAAACGTCAGGTTGCGATAGCTCGTGCAAATCAATGCAAGGTATGGCTGTCTGGAAGTAAAGGCGAACCAATTCGGTCACTTTACCAAATAGCAAATCAGGCCAAAAGGCTGAAAAAGGATATAGTTAAAGAATAATAAAGGCACCATAATAACCTTGCAAAGTGAAGTGAAAGATCACTGAAAGGTTTACTTAGATCAGTTATTGAATGAAAAAACTCTATTGGGGTGGACGTTGATGAACTTCCGGTGGAAGGACCGATTCAGGGCATCACAGCTGAGAAGCTTACGGATGCTCTGAAGGCAATAAAGGAGGGTAAAGCGGTTGGTCAAGCGGCTACAAATGATATCATTAAGGCATCTGGTGGGGTAGGCCCTCTTACACATCTGTCGGGAGATGTGGAGTAAATCGATACTACCTGTGGAATGGTACAGTAGCACAATTGTGCCGATATATAAAGGAAAAGGAGACCCACTGAAATGCTCCTTATATCGGGGTTTGCGTCTTTTGGAACAACTCCTAAAAGTTATTGAAAAAGTCATTGAGAGAAAACTGTTGACGTGCGTTTCAATAGGTGGTTACCAGTACGGGTTCATGGCTGGGAGATCCACCATTGATGCTATCTATATCATTCGTCAACTACAGCAAAAATACTTGGCAAAGCAAAAGCGACTGTTCCATGTATTTGTTCCATGTATTCCATGTAAGACCCTTTTGACAGAGTTACTCGTGAGGCAATCAGGTTGAGTTTACGTAGACAGTTTGTTCCCGAATATCTGGTTCGGCTGGCTATGGCAACGAACTCTAACACAAAAACTCTGGTTAGCACAACAGCCGGTAACACGAATAAATTTGATATTAACGTCGGTGTTTATCAGAGATCATTACTTAGCTTCCTGCTCTTCCTGATGGAAGAAATAACCAAACCGATACGCTCAAATAACATATGGAATGTGATATATGCAGATGATATCGTCTTGACGGCGGTCTCGGAACAAGACGCAGCTAGAAAGTTTGAGGTCTGGAATACCCATTCCGCTAAACACAGGCTAAAGGTAAACCTCGACAAAACAATAACTATGGTTACTGGTGGTACCGCTGAGCCTGTGGTCTTTTGGTCATTAGCCATGTTCGGTGTGAGGAGCTGGAGTTGGAAGCAACTCGATCAAATTCCTACGATGTCAGCAGTGGTGTCACAGACGATGCTTGAGAATTACCGGCTGATTGTGACTGAAAAAAAGTGACTGATTTCGTATGCCCCGCCTGCATCAACACGCGACAATGGGGTCTAGATGATGATACGATTACCGGGATCGAAACTGTTACTTCATTTCAGTATTTGAGAGATGTACTGGATTGTACTGGAACAGCTGATGCCACAGTTTGTGAACACATACGCGCGGCGTGGGGTAGATGGCACCTCCTAGCCTCGGTA